CTCGGGACGCAGTGCAGGGGTACTTGCTCTCGTACCCCTGAAGTAGAGTTCACCTTCGACTCTACTTTGAAGAGTCCTTTATCTAGGATCTCTTTCTTAGCCTTGTGGGGAACAGGCGGCATGCTGCGGCCGCCTACAAGAAGGGGCGGATTCCTGTTCCACCTGTTGAAGCGCTTGTTCAGCTTTGTGTCTGAACTCTCAATGATGAGGAAGGTGCTCCGCCAGTCCTTCCATTTGTTTGCTTTACCTCTCGTCATGAGGTAGCCCCTGTGGCTAGACAATTGATACCAGCCGGTACCGCTTGCCTTAGGGGTCCGGCTGAGGTAGTTCATGTGGGCGAAAGCCTCGAAGCTCGGCTCCACCCCGTGCAGTTCGCACCCGGCCACATAGCCGAGTACGTTGACCCAGGAGTTTGGGGCTAACTGCCATAACCCCAACTCATACCCATCCAAGATCCGCTGAACAGCTGGATGTAGTGGGAAGCGCAGCCCAGCCTTGATGGCCGCCTCGTAGCAGCCAAAGCAGGCGCCATCATAACTGGTACCAGCCGGCCATACGACTGTGTCTTCTGGATCCGGCACGAACACTAAAAAGCCGGGACCCATTGTGTGGTTTGCGATAAAGCTCTCCACTTTCTCTTGCATGGCCGTAATCCGGCCCCGAGGTACCGTGCAGTAGTAGGGGGTATTTTGCTCTCGGTGAGAGGCGAATGGCTCCGCCCAATCGTCCCCCTTCTCAACTGCGTGAGAAATCCTCGCCTCTTGTAGGCGACTGTTTTTCTCTTCTGTGTCCAACGAAGCATGGCCAGAATAGCTAGACTCGGAATCGTCCTTTGACGAGTCCGAAGAGGACGACTCCTCCCCTCTCCCGGAGGGGCCCGCCTCCTCTCCTTTAAAAGGAGCAGGAGAGAATGTAGAATTGTCAACTGTAAATTGGGAAGGGGTCACTTTGACTCCTCCCTCAGAACTGCCGGCTTTCAAGCCGCCTTGTTTCACTTCCACATCTGGCGCCTGGTCAGATGTTTCACTAATCGGCACCCTGTGGGAGGAGCCGTCTGAGTTTGAGATCCTGGCAGTCTTTTTTGTTCTGGCCATCATGCTCTGCATAGACACAGATACAGTCGGACTTTGTATAAAGGGCAAAGATGGGTCCAGAAAAGGGCAGGCGGCACTCCTAGTCCTAGATTCAGCCGTCCCCGGTGACTGGCTGATCACTAACCTAGGTCGTGTCGTGTGCTTCCGTGGTGCCATTTCAAAAAAGAATAAAGTAAAGAGAAAATTAAGAGTAAGAGAACCGACGGTTACCTGAATGAGTGACGATTGATGAAGTTCTGAAAATCCTTTGCAGCCGGCTTGTCAGAGCAGGCGGTAGGCAGAAAGGGTCCAAAATGTCAGAGCAAGTTCAGGGGTCCGAATGTTCTCTCACAAAGTTTTCAAGTGTGAAAATGACCGAAGTCAACACTCCTTTATATAGGCGAAGTGAGAAGGCGAAGGTCACTTCCAGAATTCAAAATTTTGGCGGGAGAATCTCTCGGCCTCTCGCCGAATGACACCTGTAGCAGGTCGTCGCCTGTTACAGGGCGATACCTGTCACAGGTAACACGTGACCAGTCACGTGCCACCTGTGAGGGGCAAATGATTAGGGGATTTTTCCCCACCAATCACCATCTGACAAGTGGACCAATCAGGTTCCGCCATGTGTTCGTCACATGGGCCAATAGGAGCCTGCCACGTGTCAAGCAATGATCCGTCCACTATGGACCAATTACGACACGACACGTGTCCTTCCCATGACACCTGGGATAACCGGTCACCTAGGCCCAACTTCCGAGGGAAGCCCAATCAGCCCAAGGTTAACCTAAACCTAGATTGACACGTTTCCCGAGGTTATAAATACCTCCCTTAATCCTCATTAAGGGGGATAACACACTAAAAACGCAGATTACACACATTAAACACTCTCACCTAGAGAGACCCAATCACTTTAATTTCCGCATTAATTACTCCTTAATCAAGTACTAACTTGACCGTCGGAGGCGGATCTCCAATCATCCGGAGCATCCGTTTGTTTTGCAGGTACAGGCGTCCAGTTCCAGTCTCGGAATTGTAACTCTCCCGCAGGACATCAGAAAACCCCGAAACATGTTTCTTGCCATATTTTCCTGCCGAGAGGCATAAATACTCCTTTGGACCCGATGTCATTGTTTCTAAATGATAGCCATTTTGCCGTACATCTTTAAAGCTTATGAGATTTCTTCGAGATTTACTCGAGTATAAAGCATTATTGATTATCAATTTTGTTCCATTTGGAAGCATTATACAAGCCTTTCCAAATCCTTCAATTTATTTTGCTGACCCGAAAATAGCGTTTACATTTGCCTGAAACAACTTTAGTTGTGAAAAATATTTTCTATCCTTCAAGATAGTGTGTGTTGTTTTACTGTCCAAAAGACACTGATATTTGGAACCAACTTCAGGCATATCCATATCTTCATAAAATAAATATGAGATTAGTTTAGAATAATATCATACAAACTTTTATTGATGATAGAAATTAAAAGTACATGACTAGTCATTTAAAGTACAGTTAATGACAGATAATACATTAAAGCATAGTATATGTTACGTTAGTAGATGGGTTATTTAAGCATTGTTATTTTCTCCAAAGATGAAATCATTTCCAATATCAGCATTGTCTATGAAAAAATCGGACACATCATGTAACACCCCCAAAATTCGGGTCTTTGTAAAACGATAAGAGTAACCTTTTTACCTTTCAAAATCAACCATCGAACCTTGGGAGTGTTACTGCTACACTTATTTTCCATAGAAAACAAATGCAAAGCAAAACAAAATATCATTTTATAAACTAAGTGATCTGAGTGACGGCAAAAATAAAATGGTCGTTACATCCAAACAATAAAACATTTAAAAAAGACATTAATTAAAAAGGAAAATAAATAAGTTCGAAATTAAACTAAATTGTCTTAGCTACGTGATTATTCTAGTGTCTCCTAACACGTAACCGAGTACCCTCTTACCAACCTGCAAAATAAATCAGAAACAAAAAATGAGAGAAAACTCCCAAAATCAGATAAATTGAGTAATTCCAACTCCATCCCGTAAAATAAATAATTTTAGTTCGAAAAACATTTTACACAACACAATTTCATCAACATTATAATAATAAGTCAAAATCAAGTTGTCACATAAAATTTATTACTTTAGTTAAGAAAGGGAAAGAGAACGCCAGTAAGCCGGGACTAGTCCCTGTCACCACCTACTTTATAGAGGGTCGCGCGTAACCCCAAATGGCCATAAATTAAACAGAATGTCCTTAGTGTGCACACCCCTCACTAATACCCATTGATTAGGAGGAAGACTAAACAACAATATACGTTAATTTAAAACAACTAGTAGCAACCATAACTACTAGTGGGCAACCTACTCTTCACCCTTTCGGGTTTCATTTCCCTTCTTAATTTAATGTACATTTTAATAGATTAAATTGTCCGATCACATTGCACACGAGTATTGCACAAATCAATTTAATCCCAAGTAACCATGTTTCAATTTCAGTATTATTAGAACATAGCCATTCTACATGATACACTAGTTACGACTTGTTTCCCAATAGGCCTTGGAGACCATCAATCCAGTATAATCAATAATTCAATTCCCAAGTTTTTAATTATATTAAGAACTCATACAATACCAATTAATCAAATTTTCGAAAATACTTTTACTAGTACTCAAAATATAGAAAACTAGTATAAAATATAATTCCATAATATCATACGGTAACACACTCATCACATATAATTACGTAAGCACATAGTTGGCACACAATAATTTAAAATAATTTTCTAACGGGATTCTAAAGATGATGGACATTGTAAATTACCTTGAGTTGCGCGTAAATCCCAAGGTAAGTAACCTCCGAAACGTTCACCTAGTAGCCTCCGTCTACAAATAAGCAAATAATAATACTAAGTTAGTATGACTCATATAGCTAATACAAAATTAGTAGTAGTACACTAGTACGCGGGTAATTAATCAACTACTAACATATTGTACTGATAAGAAAATTTGGAGGAAAAAGAATAAAAGTTTAATTTCAACTATGACTATAAATTTAGTAGTATGCACTACTCCACTACCACTACTCCCTATAACCGGATAAGTATACTCTAATTACGAGTATCTAATTACAAAGGCTTGTTAACACACATTTGCCTGCAACCTACGCACCAACTCCAAAACAAAGCTCCAAAAAAAAAGTACTTCAATGTGTCTTCTTTGGCGGGAAAGAAAACAACCATTTATTTTCTAAAAAAGAAGACTTCCAGTTTGTCAATTACTTATACAATATCTTAGGCAATTTCAGAAGAGGGTGTGCTAATACGGCAACGGTGTTGACGGTAAGGGTTGAAGCTATGGTGGTCTAAGATGGAGACAAGAAAAAGATTCAATTTGGGTGCCAAAACGTCGGGTTCGTCGACGGAGTTACGAGTTTAGCAATGAAAGGTGTTAATTAAAGATTACTAGTCTTTAAATTTAAGCTTAATTGACTAGTTAAAGCCATCTAAATAAAGAAGAGATTATGAGTTAATTGAGGTCTCATACATGTCAATTAATGGAGATGAAGGGTGGAAGAAGAAGAGTAGTTTTTTTGTGCTCCCCTTTTCTCACGGTCAACCAATTTATAATGTGAAAATTTGGGTGAGATTGAGGTTTGGGATAGATTTAAGTAACTAACTATGATAAGATTAAATTTCAAATTTTTTGATAAAATTAGCTTTCAAATGAAATGGGATTGAATTTCATGCTGAAATCAGTTTCTGGAATTTATCCAAAAAAATCAAATTTTTTTTATAAATCCAAAAATAAAAATAATAATTATTAAAATTTTACAATAATATATAAATTTAAAAAATAATTATAAATTTAAAACTTTATACTAGAAAAATCGTTGGTTCAATATAAAAAAAAATTGGGGTATTACACATCAAGAGTAGGACATGGAGCATTTTCTTCATTAACATAATTTGCTTCTGCATTTTTCTCTTTGCCTTTTACAGAAGCCTGGTAAAGGTCTACCAAATGTTTGGCCTTACGACAAGTACGTCCCCAATGCCTTGTCATGCCAAATCTGTAACATGTGTCTTTTCCTTTTGAAGGAGTTTGTTTGTGGCTTCCAGATAACTGTCCCTTCTGTTTTTCAAAATTTTTGAAATTACTGTTTCTTTGAAAATTATTTCTACCATGTCCTCGGCCTCGTCCGCGATAATTTCCACGGCCTCTTCCACGACCATTGTAATTTCCACGTCCACCTCTTCGTGTAGAATTTGCCTCGGGTGGATAAGAACTTGTTGCATTTGCCTCATGATGAGTGGCCAAAGACCCAGTGGTCTAAGATTATGATTTTTCAACAAAAGATCACTATTTTGTTCTGCAACAAGCAATACACTCATTAATTCATTAAACTTTTTAAAACCTCTTTCACGATGTTGTTCTTGCAACAGTATGTTGCTTGCATGAAAGGTAGTGAGTGTTTTTTCAATCATTTCTTCATCGGTGACTGGATGATCACAGTATCTCAATATAGATACTTTCTCATGTATGGTTGAATTGTAATTAATTACGGATTTGAAATACTGGAACCGTAAATTTGTCCAGTCAAATAATGCCTTAGGAAGGAGCACCGTTTTGTGGTGTCCAAATCTTTCATTAAGGCAATCCCATAATTCTTTGGGATCTTCAACTATTTCGTGGTTTTTTGAAGTCCCTCAGGAGAGTTACAATTCTGGGAATGTGCGCCTGACGTCTGTACCTGCAAAACCACGAAACTCCGGTTGGGTGGAGTTCCGCCTCCGACGATCAAGTTAGTATGATTCCGGATGGGTAAAAGTGCGGAAGGTAAATGGGTTTTTCTCCCTGATTTAGAGAGATTCCGCAATTAATATTGCTCGGTTTTTGTGTATGTATTTATGAATGTTTCTGCATCCCTAATAAATGAGGAGTTTCCTCTATTTATAGCAGATGAAGACCTACTCCCCCCATTAGGGTTACAATGCCACATGTCAGCATCCGATTGGATCCCAAGGGCCTTTGAAAGGCTGCCACGTGTCAGCACGGCATTGAGCCACATGGCATAGGGGGGGGGTTTACCCCAAACATTTTCCCCTCACAGGTGTGACGTGGCTTGCCACGTGGTGCCTATGACACGTGTCACATTCCGGGAAGGCGACGGTTCGTCTCCTTCCCTCCATTTTTTTTTTGAATTCGAATTTGAATTGGAGTGGGAAGGTGACGGTTCGCCTTTTACCCCCCTCCTGTAAATTGGAGGCCTCCTCCTCTCATATGCCACTTTACAAATTTTCACAAAAATTACTTGAGAGGAAAAGCTCTGACACCAGTTGCTCAATCGTGAAACTAGCTTCTTCTTTCGAACGCATCCGGTTATCGGCTGAGCACTTTGACCTTTTCTAAGGTACCGTCTGACTTAATCAATTTCTTCTTTATTTTAGTAGAGCCACAGCCGGTCTTACACCGTCTGGGGCACTTTTAAGCAATTTATACTTCACAAATTGCATGCATTAGACCCACAGTCGGTCTTACACCGTCTGGGGCACTTCAAAGCAATTTATTTCACAAATTGCATTCCATAGACCCACAGCCGGAAATATTTCGTCTGGGGGGTCTTCAAACAATTGTCTTCCAAACTTGCATTTCATAGACCCTCAGCCGGAGATATTCTGACTGGGGTATCTTCAAACAATTGTCTTCGAAAACTTGCATTCAACAGACCCATAGCCGGAAATATTCCGTCTGGGGTATCTTCAAGCAATTGTCTTTGAAAACTTACATTTCATAGACCCTCAGCCGGAGATATTCGGTCTGGGATATCTTCAAACAATTGTTCTTCAAAACTTGCATCCAATGGACCCACAGCCGGGAATATTCCGCCTGGGGCATTTCTGAGCAATCTTCATAATTTGCTTTCCATAGACCCACAGCCGACAATATTCCGGTTGGGGCATCTTCAAGCAATTTTTTTTTTATTTTTTTTATTTGCTTTCATAAGGCTCTCAGCCGACCTTGTGCCGCTAGGGTATTTTTGTGTAATTTTCCTCAAATACTGCATCTTATGGATCCTCAGCCGGTCTTATACCGTTTGGGGTATCTTGGAGCAATCTTCACAAAATGCACCTCATAGATACCGTCTGGGGTATCTTAGGGCAATTTTTCAAAAAGCCACTCTACAAATACCATCTGGGGTATCTCTAAGTCATCTTCATAAACTGCTTTCTATAGATACCGCCTGGGGTATCTTTGAGCAATCTTCAAAAATTGCATACTATTTGATACCGTCTGGGGTATCTTTGAGTGATTTTCTACGCAAACGCCTGACTGTTTGCTTTGTATTTCAGCTTTCAAAACACAAGCAACCGGAATCTTCCGCCTGTGGCATCTGCGAGCCACATTTTGAGATAACGGTCTTCTACAAACTTCTTCAACACTTCAAGGTACTGTCTCTGCCCTTCGTAACTTTGAGTTTTTCCCGGTTGCTTAGTTTAGAGAAAAATAGACTCTCCCAACACACACACGACACGACCTAGGGCAAATGTCAACCGTTCACCGGATACGGCCGAGTCTAGGACTGGTGATGCCGTCTGGGGGTGTTTGGACCACCCTAATTCTGCTAGGAATCCGACCGTCTATTCATGTGCATGACAGAATGGCTTGGACAAGGAAAACGGCGGTTGACCCTGAGTACCAATCAGATGATTCAGCCGGAACTCCGGTTGAGGATGTACCTTTTGACCAACCGAGCGTACCTAGCACGCCCGGAGATGAGATATTAGAAGAGTCCGGGAGCTCAGGCGGTGAGGAAACCGTCCAGCAATCCGACTCAAGTGAGACTACAATGACGCCGAATGCCCCTCAAGAGGATGAGGAGGCACATAACTGGCCATCAGCAAATAATCCAACAGAGGCGCACATGAGCGCTCGAGATGTTGTCACTTTAAATGCAACCCTCCCAGCATTCTAGGAGAAGCGCCCTGTAGGGGCCGGATGGGAGGTCGGTGTCCCGCCTGCTGATGCAACCGTCGTCTGGGATGACGACTTACAACATGCCGATAATTACTTCGGCTGCTACGAGGCGGCATTCAAAGCCGGCCTCCGGTTCCCCCTCCACAAAACAATCAAAGCCATTCTAAGGGGTTACGACCTTGGCGTCTGGCAGCTCACACCCAACTCTTGGGTGAATACTTTGGGATATATTGCCGCCTGCGAGATGCAAGACGTGACGCCTAGCTGGGAGGCGTTCGCGCACATGCACTACCTGAGTTGTGCCCTAGGCGGCTGGAATGCGTGGTACACACTGACCACGCATCCGGAATATATGATGACATTGGAGAAGCCCTCCAAATAGACAAGCTGTAAGAGAAAATTTTATTTCGTCTCTTCCTCATCTACGGCTGCAAATCACCGGATGCGCCGTTACAACAAGAACCCGGCTCTACTGGGAAAGAAATGCCCTCCCCAAGATACCGGCTGAATCTTGGGATGCCATAATGGAGCCAGGGTTGTTCAAGAAGACTACAATGCCACTAGATGATGGGACACAAATCATTGTCCCCAAATTCTGGGTCCCTCATCCGGACTGGTTCAGAGACAAGCCGTTCCTTTTCGCCTGCGGTCTTAGCACCTTTTGGGACATACATAGGCTTACTGCTTAACCGGCATATTATGCCGCCTGTATGGTGTTTGAATGCTCTAATCATTTTTCTTTACTATTTTGCAGAGAAAGGACTTGAGATGACTCCACCAGAGAAAACGCCGGCTAAGTCAGCCGCCGAAATAAGGAAGGAGCAACTCGAGCAGAAACGGGCCCAACTTGCGGCCAGAGGCGGTGGGGTAAGCACCGGCTGATCTTATGCCGCCTGTATGTCTTGCAAACAATCTTGATTCTAACTTGTTGCTTTGTTATCTTTTGCAGACGGAGAACCAGAACGTTCCCCACTCTTTGAGGCAGATGGTGAGGAGGCCGGGGGAGGAACTCCCCCAGCCGGCTTCATAGAGGCGGAGGGTCTCAAGCGGCCCCGCGCCAACCTCAGCCGGTAGAACACCAGCTCCTGAAAGGCCCACAACCGCAGGCAAAAGTCTGCAAAGCCTGGGTTTAAGCTCAGGGTCGGCTGAGGCCGGATCTAAGGAGCCTGAGGTTCCTTCTGGCCGGGTGCTTGCTGTTGCATCCGACTCAAATGTGGCTGGGGGTGGTCTCACCCCTCAGCCTGAAAACGAAGGTACGGATTTCCCTTTTGACCCCCCCGGCCGCTTGGGCCTGTTCGAGTCAAGTCCCAAGCTTCTCAGTCGGGGGATTCTTCCGGAAGCCGGCTGAATATAGGAGCTCCTTATGCCCAACACTTAACAAATATCTCTTATGATGCAGATGCTGCTCCTCGTTGGCCGGATATGCAAAATTACGCCAAGAGAATGCTGAGGACCCTCACCCGGTCCGAGAAGGACGCGGAACCGAGTGTCCACCAAGTCAATATTGACTGCATTGCCTCACTACTGGCTTAGGTAATATACCGGTTGGGGTACTTTTGGGCAATTTTGCTATTTGACAGATGGGGTACTTTTGGGAAATTTTTCTCATTGCCGGTTGTTATATAACTGAACTAACTTCTTTTCCGGCTGACATTGTAGGTAATGTTGAGGGTTGAAGGGTTAAAAACCCCCTTGCGGAAGAAGCAAGAGGAGGTGAGGGATGCCCAAAGACAGGCAGCCAAATTACTTGATGTCTGTCAATATAACTCCCTAATGCTTGAAATCCAAAATAAAGCCCGGGAGATGAAACAGGAGGAACTCATTTGGGAGCTGACGGCTGCTGCTGATACAACCAACCAAAATGCTGCCGACTGGAAACTCCAAGTTGACAAACTCAAGGTTGACGTCAAGGCCTTGGGGGAGGCTGACAAGGAGAATGCTGGGCTGAAAGACGAGGTCACCCGGCTGAAGGACGAGCTGGTAAGGACCAAGAAGGAGCATCTGGACTAGCTGTCGGTTGAACAGAACCGGCTGGTCACCGAGAATGAGTGTGACTGCGAAGCACGTATGAAGATGGCATGGTCCTTGATCCACCCAGACACCGACTATGCTTTCTTCGACTTGAGGTACAAATACGCAACAGAGGTATTTAATGCTCAAGTACTCGGGCTTCAGCAGCCGGCGCCCTTCGAGGAATGGGCCGGCATAAGGGATGAACAGGCGAAGATGAGGTGCCGGTTGGGGCAAGAGAAGCCCAACCCCAGCAGACCCAAGATGCCCCTAATGCCGATCAAGGCCAGCAGCCGGAACAACAGCAGCAGTAGCAGTAGCTCAAAATTTTTTAAACTCCTACTTTCATCCGGCCTGTGAGCCGTGTAATCTTGTATCACTTTCTCCGGACAGGGGTCCGGCTAAC